AAAACTTCCAGTAGGGCTTCCCTGGTGGCAAAGTGGTTAAGAATCCGCCTGCCAATGAAGGGGACACAGGTTCGAGCCCTGGTCCAGGAAGATACCACATGCCGTGGAGCAACGAAGCCCATGCGCCACGGCTGCTGCTGCGCTCTAGAGCCCACGAGCCTCAGCTACTGAAACCTGCACACCTAGAGCCCGTACTCTGCAACAAGAGAGGCCACTGCAATAAGAAGCCTGTGCACCGCAGCAAGGAGTGGCCCCCACTCGCTGCAACTAGGGAGGGCCCGTGCACAGCAACAAAGACCCAACTCAGCCATAAATAAATAAATAAATAAATAAATAAATAAATAAATAAATTTACAAGAAGAAAAAGAAAACTTCCAGTAGAAGGCGGCAAATTGAACACAAATATATATCTCCTCTCCTCTGAGACTGTTTAATTAAAAGTTGGGAAGAAAAAAAAAGACTCAACAACAGAGAGCACATGAGGAAGATTATCAGCGAGGAAAACCTTTCTACTCGCATCTGGAGGACAGAAAGTCCATGCAGAAGTGATGATTGAAAGAAGAGAGCCGAGAAAACTCAAGAAGAAACTGTCTTTCTCTCCCTCACTATCTCCATTGCTACCCGCTCCCCTCCAGTCTAAGCAACTGTCATCCTTTTTTATCCAGTGTCAAAGTGAATGCTTCAATGACTGTTGCTGTCTCTCACTCAGATTATAATAGTCTTCTAACTATATTTTAGAACCTTGGTTCTATGTTTCTCCCTCCAGCATATAAACTCTATGAGGACATGGATTGCGTCTACTTTGTTCACTGTTTTTTTTTTTTCTTTTGGCTGTGCCACGCGGCTTATGGGATCTTAGTTCTCCAACCAGGGACTGAACCCGGGCCATCAGCATTGAAAGCGTGGAGTCCTAACCACTGGACCGCCAGGGAATTCCCTGTTCACTATTTTATCTAGGCCTAGAACAAAAGTGCTCAATAAGTATTTGGTGATTCCATGAATAAATGAATGAGGGTAGATGCTAGAAGACTTTAAATTTATAAACTCATGTACTCTTTAAAAAGTTTTACTGGGACTTCCCTGGTGGCACAGTGGTTAAGAATCCGCCTGCCAATGCTGGAGACACGGGTTCAAGCCCCGGCCCAGGAAGATTCCCACATGCTGTGGAGCAACTAAGCCCGTGCGCCACAACTACTGAGCCTGTGCTCTAGAGCCCGCGAGCCACAACTACTGAAGCCCACGCGCCTAGAGCCCGTGCTCCACAACAAGAGAAGCCACCGCCATAAGAAGCCTGCGCACCACAACGAAGAGTAGCCCGCACTCACCGCAACTAGAAAAAGCCTGCGCGCAGCAACAAAGACCCAACACAGCCAAAAATAAATAAATAAAAATTTGAGAAAGAAAAAGTTTTACAAAACATGCACTGTTTTTCTAATAAAAAGAATAAAGTCAAATAAACTAATTAAAATAGTGCTATTCTTTTTTCAAGAGGCTGTTAAGGTCAATCTTCTCAGTATAACCTTATCTGACAACAAAGATCATCTTCAAATTTTGGAGAAGTAAATGGAAGCCAGGAAAGCCCAGGTAATTTTCCCAAAGTCACATGTAAAATAGGAGAGGTAGGATTTGAAACCAGATTTGACTTTAGAGAGCTTACTCTTGACTGCTATGTTATGCTATCTCCCCAGCTGAATCAGAGCTACTAGTAGGTGGGGCACGATGATTATTAGTACATGGTGGACATTCATAATCCCTGAGGAACTGCATTTAAACGTGGCTCCCTAGGGTCAGGCCTGTCTTACTTCAAGGGTTACTTACTGCTCCTTTCATTCTGTGCAGCAGCTCATACATTCGGATGCAGCCTTCCACTTTGATCCCCTGGGAGGACTGAAGTACCATAGGTTCTGTATGCTGAGACTCGTATTTGTCCTATACAGACAGAAGATGGAAAAATTAAGCTTTTAAGATGGTAAAGTTGGTGTTATTCAATCTGAACAAAAATCACATCCTTACTTATGAACAACCAGTAACAACAACAAAACAATATATATTAGAACCAGTGTGCTTTTCATGATATTGACCTTATTCTAATTGGTTTCCTTAATAAAGTGGATGTTTTTGCTTTGGACAGTTTTTTTGTGTTTTTTTATTTTTTTTGCTTGCTCATTTGTTTTGATTTGTCCAGCGCATTTTCCCCATTTCTTCTAATAAGTGTCCGTTTTGGCTGGGTTGGTTTGGATGGAGAAACCCCAGCCCACATCCCCGATTCTTCCACACCCCCTAGTGTCAGGGGTCACTAAGCATGTGACCAGCCTGGCAATCAAAGTATTCTATCCCCCTGTACCCAGTACCCAGTATCTACTTCAGGAATGAGGCTTATGACCTAAGCTAAGCCAGAGTCCATCCTGAATTTTCCTGATGGAGCTATTTGGGATGGTTTTCTCTTATTCTGGGGATGCTAAGCTAAGAAGATATGTGTCTAGGGCTACCAAGAGACATCCTGCCAGACAGTCTATCTGAAAGATGAAACCAAGACGAGTTAGACAGAACTGAGAAATGGAGAAGCAAAGCCCTGGGTCTGAGTCACTGAATCAAGTGAGAAATAGTATCAAGGACAGACAAGCAGAAAATAGATCCTCTAGATCTAATTGATTCGAAATGCACTCCTAGATTTCCTGGTTATATGAGCTAATTAATTTCTCCCCTGACTCCCTTGTTTTGCTTAAGCTAGTTTAAACTGGGTTTCTGTTACCTAAACACCAAAAATTTGTAAATGATACAATTCATTATATAAAGCCATCCAAAACTTTACTTAAACCTTAAGAATTACGGAATTTTATACCTGGAGAGGACCTTGGCAATGTAGTCCAGTACCAGATTTACAGATGAAGAAACTGAGGCCTAAGGAGGGAAAGATGCCTGCCTGAGGGCATGCCACACTATTGGCAGGATCAGGACTAGAAACTGCTGCCTCTGAGAAGCTGCTCATAGAAACTTAAATTTTTTTTTTTAATTTTGAAATAATTATAATTTACAGGAAGTTGGAAACAGTAAATTGACGGTACGAGCCACAGAACTTATTCAGATTTCACCAGGTTTTACAGGAATTCATTTGGGTACGTGTATAGTTTTATGCAATTTTATCACATGTGTAACCACCATCACAAAGTACAGAACTGTTCCACCACCATGAAGCTTCCTTGTGCCACACCTTTATATTGCTAATCTGTTCTCCATCTCTATAATGATAGCATTTCAAGAACGTTAAATAAATGGAACCATACAGCACATAATCTTTTGAGATTGGCTTTTTTCACTTCGTATAATGCCTCTGAGATCCTAAGTTGTTGCATATTATCAAGGACTTGTTCCTTTTTATTGCCAGTCGTATTCCATGATAGAGATGTACCAGTTTGTTTAACCATTCATCTGTTGAAAGACATTTCACTGTTTCCAGCTTGGGGATATAATAAATAAAGCTCCTATGATCACTGGTATACAGATTTTTACGTAAATATAAGTTTTGATTTCTCTGGGAAAAATGCCCAAGAATGCAACTGCTAGGTCATACAGTTAAGTACCTATTAGTTTTATAAGAAGCTGCCAAACTGTTTCCTAGAGCGCCGGTACCGTTCCACATTTCCACCCAAAATACACGAGTGATCCAGATTCTCTACATCATTGTCAGTGTTTGGTGGTGTCACTATTTTTTATTTTAACCATTCTGATAGGTGTGCAGTGCTACTTTGTCCTGGTTTTAATTTGCATTTCTTTAATGGCTAATGACTGTGAACATATTTTCATGTACTTATATTGTCTATATATTGTCTTAGGTGAAATGTCTGTTCATATCTTTTGCTCATTTTCTAACTGAAGATTAGAAAGTTTTTGTTTAACCTGTGAGTTTTAAAAATATATTCTAAATATATATTCTCGATATAGATTTTAAATATATTCTAGATACATAAACCTTTGTCAGATAGGTCGTTTGCAACTACTTTCTCCCAGTCAGTAGCTTGTCTGATCATCCTCTTCACAAGGTCATTCACTGAGCCACGCTTTTCATTTGATGAGGTCTAATTTATTAATTTTTCCTTCTATGGATTAAGTTTTTTTTTTTGTTTTTTTTTTGCGGTACGCGGGCCCCTCACTGTTGTGGTCTCTCCCGCCACGGAGCACAGGCTCCGGACGCGCAGACTCAGCGGCCATGGCTCACAGGCCCATCCGCTCCGCGGCACGTGGGATCCTCCCGGACCGGGGCACAAACCCGCATCCTCTGCATCGGCAGGCGGGCTCTCAACCACTGCGCCACCAGGGAAGCCCGATTAAGTTTTTAGTGTCAAATCTAAAAACTCTTCACCTAGTCCTAGGTTCTGATTATGTTTTTTTTTTTTCCCTAAAAGTCATAGTTTTACATTTAAGTTCATGATCATTTTGAGTTAATTTTTATGTAAGTTGTAAAGTTTAGGCTAAAGTTCATTTTTGTGTCTATGATGCTCAATTGCTAGAAATATTTTTTAAAGACTAATATTTTAAAAGATGAAGTGTGAAATATAAACTAAAAAGTAAACTTTTTATGTATGTAATCATGCAGTCTTTCATAATATGAATAATCATCTCTGTCCTGTATTATTTTTTAGGATTATTATTTACTGTACAATAAATTCTTTCCTATTGTGAACAACTCTTGCAAAGACATTTCTCCAAAGAAGATATACAAATGGCTAATAAGCACATGAAAATATGCTCAACATCACTAATCATCTAGGGAAATGCAAATCAAAACCACAATGATACACTTCATGCCCACTAGGATGGCTTTTGTAAAACAAAACAAAATAAAAACAAACAAACAGACAAAAACAACCCAGCAAATAACAAACGTTAGCAAAGGTGTGGAGAAACTGAAACCTTGTGCATTGCTAGTAGGAATGCAAAATGATACAGCCGCTGTGGAAAACAATATGATGGTTCCTCAAAAATTTAAACATAGAATTACCATATGATTCCTCAATTCTACTTCGGGGTACATACCCCAAAGAACTGAAAACAGGTACTCAAACTAATACATGTACATGCGTATTCAGAGCAGCACTAGTCACCAACAGCCAAAAGGTGGAAGCAAGCTAAACGTCCAGTGACAGATGAATGAATAAACAAAACATGGTACACACAGTGGAGTATTATTCAGCCTTAAAAGGAAGGAAATTCTGACACATGCGACAACATGGATGAACCTTGAAGACATTATGCTAAGTGAAATAAACCAGTCACAAAATGACAAATATTACATGATCCCACTTATACGAAGTACCTAAAATGGTCAAATTCATAGAGACAGAAAGTAGAATGGTGGTTGCTAGGGACTGGGGGTAGGGGGAAATAAGGAGTTATTTATTTATTTATTTATGGCTGCGTTGGGTCTTCATGGCTGCGCGCAGCCTTTCTCTAGTTGTGGTGAGCGGGGGCTACTCTTCGTTGTGGCACATGGGCTTCTCATTGCGGTGGCTTCTCTTGTTGTGGAGCACGGCACGTGGGCTTCAGTAGCTGTGGCATGTAGTCTCAGCAGTTGTGGCTCGCGGTCTCAGTAGTTGTGGCTCGCAGGCTCTAGAGAGCAGGAGTAGTTGTGGCACACAGGCTTAGCTGCTCCATGGCATGTAGGATCTTCCCACACCAGGGAACGAACCCGTGTACCCTGCCTCGGCAGGCGGATTCTTAACCACTGTACCACCAGGAAAGTCCTGGAGTTATTGATTAATGAATGTAGTATTTTTAGTTTTGGATGATGAAAAAGTTCTGGAGATGGATATTGGTGACGATTACACAACACTATGAATGTACTTAATGCCACTGAATTGTACTCTAAAAAATGGTTAAATGGTAAATTTTATGTCATGAATATTTTACAATTTAAAAGAAGTTTTAAAATTAAAAAAAAATGTTCATACCCTTTTATCTTTGACGCCAGTCAAATCATTTGGGCATTTATTTTAAGATATTAGCCAGAAGACATATTTTAAGATTAAAAACGGAAAGATCTCTCTGCAGAAAGTTTCTCAGTGTAATATCTTTAAAAGCAATGAAATGGAAAAATATAAATGCCTAATAATAAAGGAGCAGTTTAATAAATTACAGGATATTACATATCCTCTAAGTAGACATTTACAAAGGTGGAAATAACGTGAACAAATAATTCAAATAGTTCATGAACAAAATAAAGTTAGGAAGGAAAAGCAGAACATGAAAGTGCACATACAATTTAATTATGCCAAGGTACAAGGATGCAGCCATATGAAAGTGGAAAGAAGTAACTGATGACTGAAATGATGAAACCATAGGGAGATTTAACTTCTTCCTTTTGTTGAATTGATAATATATTTTCAGTAAACAAAAGTCTGCAGTGAGTATGAACAAAAAGAACAAAGAACTTTGTCTTTTGGAAGCTAAACGTGAAAAATGTAATCTCTACCTTTCTAAAGAGTTGCCTAGTCTTATTTTGCTGGCACAAAAATCTAAAACTTGAAAAAGCATAATAGTGCTTAGAAGTTTTGGGCTTCCCTGGTGGCACAGTGATTGAGAATCTGCCTGCTAATTCAGGGGACACGGGTTCGAGCCCTGGTCTGGGAAGATCCCACATGCTGCGGAGCAACTAAGCCCGTGAGCCGCAACTACTGAGCCTGCGCGTCTGGAGCCTGTGCTCCGCAACAAGAGAGGCCGCGATAGCGAGAGGCCCGCGCACCGCGATGAAGAGTGGCCCCCGCTTGCCACAACTAGAGAAGGCCCTCGCACAGAAACAAAGACTCAACACAGACAAAAATAAATAAGTAAATAAATTATAAAAAAAAAGAAAGAAAGAAAAAGCACAATAGTGCTTAGAAGTTTAGAAGACTTTTTTTCTATTAACTCTTGTTATACTACTTGTTATACCTTACTTTGATCCAGAAAGGATTTAATGCAGCTTATAAAGGAACATAAAACATAACAACAGGACTTCCCTGGTGGTGCAGTGGTTAAGAATCCGCCTGCTGGTGCAGGGGACATGGGTTTGAGCCCTGGTCCAGAAGATCCCACATGCCACGGAGCAACTAAGCCTGTGCACCACAACTACTGAGCCTGCACTCTAGAGCCTGCAAGCCACAACTACTGAAGCCCGCATGCCTAGAGCCTATGCTCCGCAACAAGAGAAGCCACTGCAATGAGAAGCCTGCACACCGCAACGAAGAGTAGCCCCCGCTCGTTGCAACTAGAGAAAACCCGTGTGCAGCAACTAAGACCCAATGCAGCCATAAATAAATAAATATGTCTAGAGATACAAAGAAAGAGAAGAGAAGAGAAAAGAGAAGAGCAGAGCCCCAGCAACAATTTAACTGTTTTAAGTGGGAGAAACAAAGGCAGGAACAAAACAGAGCCAGAAAGAAGGTAAAAACTCATCCAGAAGCAACAATAAGGTATGTAAATCTAAGAGCAAGTATAAAATTTACTCTAAGCTTTCCAGCAGCCAACAACAAAAAGGGAGACCTTGTTGAGTTAAACAGATGCAATGCTCATGAGAAAAAAATCCACTTGCTCATGAAATTAATTACTATTCTTGGTACTAAGAATAGAGAGGAATTTCTCTCTCTGGGTCTTCATAAAGAGAACGCTGGGTGATGTGGAAAACACTGTCGCTACAAACAGCTACAAGAATTCGAAGAAGCAACCATTATTTTCTCCAGAGTAAGGTCGCTGTAGTATGACAATGTTAAACACTTCAACTTTGCAGCCACCATTGTCTTTTGTCTTAAACTGATCAAAAGCCTTACCTTGGTTCCATCTGGTGTTGCTGAGGAGGCTGGTGAGAAGGCAGGGTCTCTGACAGGAGATTTGGGAACAAATGAAGGTTGGCCGAGGGCTGAAGTAGATCTAGGGGATGTTGAAGTCTCAGAGGGAGGTGGGTTCTCTTGCATATTGGGTAGGACATGATCTACTACCCATCCAGAGTAAGAAGACAGCTTGGGAAGAGACATACATTCTTCTAAAACATCCTAGAGGGAAGAAGAAGGTTAAGCTCAACTTGAATGTCAACTGATCTAAGCAATCAAAAATAATTTTGTCCTTATAATCCACTACATGCTTTACTGAAAATCTAAGAAGGCCTAAATAAATATATACATACATACATACCAAAGACCCAAAGTAACTGTATTAACAATCAGAGATGAAGAGAAAGTACAGTAGCTTCTTGATAATGACCTTGACTATTATCCTTTTAGAGTACCAGACTAAATAACCCTAACTACAGAAAAAGGAACAATGCACAAAGATGGTCATTAAAGCAGATTTGAGGCTTCCCTGGTGGCGCAGTGGTCGAGAGTCCGCCTGCCGATGCAGGGTACATGGGTTTGTGCCCCGGTCCGGGAAGATCCCACATGCCGCGGAGCGGCTGGGCCCGTGAGCCATGGCCACTGAGCCTGTGCATCCGGAGCCCGTGCTCCGCAACGGGAGAGGCCACAGCAGTGAGAGGCCCGCGTACCGCAAAAAAAAAAAAAGCAGATTTGAAATCAATCTAAAACGTTGTAACAGAAAAGAACATGAAAGGAATTTTGAAGTAAACTATGGTATACACACTCAGTGAATATTAGTCATTTAAAAATGCCAATTGTGAATCCTATGTAAGGTTCAAATTTTTCCAGTTTTATTGAAAAATAATTGACAAACACCACTGTAAAATTTTAAGGCCTAAACACGATGGTTTGATTTATATATATTGTAAAATGATTAAATAGGTTCAGCTAACAACATCCATCTTCTCATATAGATATAATCAAAAGAAAGAAAAAAGGAAAAAAAATTTCTTCTTGTGATGAGACTCTCAGCAGGTACTCTCTTAACTTTCCTATATATTGTATAGCTGTGTTAGCTAACAGTCGTCAAGTTGTATATTACATCCCTAGTACTTATCTATCTTATAACTGGAAGTTTCTATTTTTTGACGACCGTACTCCATTTCCTCCTCCCCCAAGATTCAATTTTAAGTGAAAAAACAAGAGTATAAATAACTATGTCTACAATGATACAAAATAAATACAAATAAATACCCTAACAAATTTGAAAGAAATATACCAGAAGTTAAGCTTGGGTGATCAGTGACATATTTCTACTTGTTCTAATTTTCTGTATTTAATTTCTAAATGAACTTGTTATACCTTTTAAAATGAAAATAAGCAAATAAAAATTAGGCATAGAAAAGTGCTTACTAGGGACTTCCCTTGTGGTGCAGTGGTTAAGAAGCCCCCTGCCAATGCAGGGCACATGGGTTTGATCCCTGGTCCAGAAGATCCCACATGCTGTGGAGCAACTAAGCCCGTGCACCACAACTACTGAGTCTGCACTCTAGAGCCTGTGAGCCACAACTACTGAAGCCCGCGCACCTAGAGCCCATGCGCCACAACTACTGAGTCTGCGCTCTAGAGCCCCCAAGCCACAACTAATGAGCCTGCGTGCCACAACTACTGAAGCCCGTGCGCCTAGAGCCCGTGCTCCGTAACAAGAGGAGCCACCGCAATGAGAAGCCTGCACACCACAATGAAGAGTAGCCCCCACTCGCCGCTACTAGAGAAAGCCCACGCGCAGCAATGAAGACCCAATGCAGCCAAAAAAAAAAAAGTCCATTTGGATCATATTTTAGATTCCACTTGTGATATCATATGGTATCTGTCTTTCTCTTTCTGGCTTACTTCACTTAGTCTGATAATGTCTAGGTCCATCCATGTTGCTGCAAATGGCATTATTTCATTCTTTTTATGGCTGAGTAGTAGTCCATTGTATACATATACCACATCTTCTTTATGTCTTCATCTGTCAATGGATATTTAGGTTGCTTCCATGTCTTGGCTATTGTAAATAGTGCTACTAACAACATTGGGGTGCATATATCTTTTCAAAAGGGAAGCCTCATACACTGGGGTGCAGTGTATGAGGCTTCCCTTTTCTCCACATCCTCTGCAGCATTTATTATTTGTAGACTTTTTAATGATGGCCATACTGACCAGCGTGAGGTGGTACCTCAGTGTAGTTCTGATTTGCATTTCTCTGATAATTAGCGATGTTGAGCATCTTTTCATGTGCCTATTGGCCATCTGTATGTCTTCTTTCGAGAAATGTCTTCTGCTCATTTTTGGAATGGGTTGTTTGTTTTTGTTATTGAGTTGTACGAGCTGCTTGTATATTTTGGAAATTAAGCCTTTGTCGGTTTCATTGTTTACAAATACTTTCTCCCAGTCTGTAGGTTGTCTTTGTTTATGGTTTCCTTTGCTGTGCAAAAGTTTGTAAGTTTGATTAGGTCCCATTTGTTTATTTTTGCTTTATTTCTATTGCCTTGGAAGACTAAGAAAACACTGCTATGATTTATGTCAGAGAATGTTCTGCTTATGTTTTCCTCTAGGAGTTTTATGGTGTCATGTTTTATATTTAAGTCTTTAAGCCATTTTGAATTTATTTTTGTGTATGCTGTGAGGAAGTGTTCTAACTTCATTGATTCATGTGCAGTTGTCCAACTTTCCCGACACCCTTCTGAAGAGACTGTCCTTTCTCCATTGTATATTCTTGCCTGCTTTGTTGAAGATTAATTGACTGTAGGTGTGTGGGTTTATTTATGGTCCCTCTATTCTGTTTCATTGATCCATATGTCTGTTTTTGTCCCAATACCATGCTGTTTTAATTACTGTAGCTTTGTTGTATTGTCTAAAGTCTGGGAGGGTTATGCCTTCAGTTTTGTTCTTTTTCCTTAGGATTACTTTGGCAATTCTGGGTCTTTTGTGCTTGTATATAAATTTTAGGATTACTTGTTCTAGTTCTGTGAAAAATGTCATGGGTAATTTGACAGGGATTGCAATAAACCTGTAGATTGCTTTGGGTAGTATGGCTATTTTAATAATATTAATTTTTCCAATCCAAGAGCATGGGATATCTTTCCATTTCTTTGAATCATCTTCAATTTCCTTTCCTTTATCAGTGTTTTACAGTTCTCAGAATATAAGTCTTTCACCTCCTTGGTCAGGTTTATTTCTAAGGTTTCTTTTTTTTGGGGGGGGATGTGACTTTAAAAGGTTTTTTTTTTTAAACTTTCCCTTTCTGATATTTCATTGTTAGTGTAAAGAAATGCAACAGATTTCTGTATGTTAATCTCATATCCTGCTACCTTGCTAAATTTATCAGTTCTAGTAGTTTTTCTGTGGAGTCTTTAGGGTTTTCTATAGATAGTACCATGTAATCTGCATATAATAACAATTTTACCCCTTCCCTTCTGATTTGGATACCTTTCTATTTATTTCCCTTGTCTGACTGCTGTGGCTAGGACTTCCAATTCTATATTAGATTAGGAGTGGTGAGAGGGGGCATCCTTGTCTTGCTCCAGATTTTAGCAGGAAGGCTTTCAGCTTTTCACCACCACTGAGTATTGTGTTGGCTGTGGGTCTGTCCCACAATAAAAGTAGCTTTATTTGTCCCATAATAAAAGTAGCTTTTATTATGTTGAGATATGTTCCCTCTCTACTCACTTTGGGAAGAGTTTTTATCATGAAAGGATGTTGAATTTGAGACAACTTTTTACTCTTCTTTACGCCAAAATAAATTCCAGGAGCAAAGTTTCAAACGTAAAAAATAAACCCATACCCATAAAAAACACCATCAACGGAGAAAATAATTTCAACTGACAAACTAGAAAAAAAGATGCAATATATATCACAGATAAAGGAATATTATTATCCTTAATACCTAAAGAACTTATAAAATATTGGCAAAACCCCAATAGAAAAATGAGCAAAAGACATAAACTGGCAAATGTACACACACAAGGTTACAAGTAGTGGATCACAACTCACTGAATAAAATAGGAACCCATGAGGATACTGATATAAACAATTAAACAGAAGGAACCCATGAGGATTCTGATATGAATAATTAAACGGAAGAGAAAAGAAAGCTCTTCCTTACAGTAGAATGCCAGCTAACAAACGTAGGAATGGTAGCTATAAAGAAACACCATTCGTCTACATCACAGAAAAGACTGATTCAGGAAGAAATCACCAATAAATGCTAACGGTGGAGGTTTGATAAGAAAAAAATATTTTGGTGTAACCTTGGACTACCTCCCAACAAAATACTAAGAAGTTACAAAAGGGAAAATGATGAACTTTAAGTGAATTTTACGTGGAAATATCTGGAAGTTACCGTTGTAACCAAGTGATCAAGTTGAGCATCACCAGTGTTGGGATGGGCTGAAGCATCTACGTGTGACTGATGTGACTTACTGAGGACACAGCATCATTTCTGTGGTAGTCCTGCTAAGAATGCATAACCTGAGTCTACACCCTACAGATTCAGGCTGGAATTCATCCTATAGAATGTAACGTATGTATTCTTTAAAACCGTCAAAGACATAAAGACAGAAATGCTTTAGAAGTGTTTCACATTTAAGTCTGAAGAGACAAGACATCATACCTGTAGCTAGATTACCAGCAACTCGGGAAGAGGAGTTATGCCTTAACCGTCTCTATATTCCCCCACCTGCGCGGTCTAGTACAGGGCTTTGCGAATCTTAGATGCAGTGACCACGCCCCCATTAAAGTTCCCAGGTCCGTCCAACGTCGTCTAAAAGTTTGGTCATTTCACTGGCAGCAACAGGTTAGGTCCTGTTAACCGTTCACCACTAAATCTGGATCTCCTAACACAAGAGACGCGCAGTAAACTAACTGACCCTGAGAGGCCAGGATTGCTTTGACAACATAGGCGCAGGCACCTAACGCCAGCTGCGGGGAGCAATGAAGCCTTCAAAGAGCACGTCTGAAGGGGAGCCACGGAAGGCTAGAATAGGCGAGAGACGGTGGTGCACACACGGGAGTCAAGCAGCAAACCCGGGCTGTTACAAGAACGCACCGGTTCCCTGGCGCAGGACATGCCAAGGGCTAGGGAAGAGCAGAGTCCCGTGACGAGGGGCAGGAAGGACCACCGCCCCCTTTGGGGCCACTGCTCACCTCGCCCCGCAACAGCCAATCGCGGTGGTAGCAAATGCGACCTTTGTCAGACCTGCGCAGCGCCTGCAGGGTCTCCCAGCAGCGACCCTCAGAAGGCATGGCCTGCCCCGCTACAGTACTCCAGGGGCGCCGCTTGAGACGAAACAAGCCCTCGAATCAGCCGACCGGAAACAGGTGCTCGCTTCCGCTTCCGGGGCGCACACGTAGCGACGCAGTTCAACCCCGCCCCTAACGGCTGCATGGCCCCGCCTCCGGCACTGAGCCCGCCCACCAACGCGCCTGCGCACAGGGCTTGGCCCGAGGCTCGCTCCCCTGCAGGGACCTCCGACCTGGGGGCTTCAGAAAGCTGGGCCTTCCAGGTTGCAGAAAACTGAACAGGTATTGATGAGCATGTGGAGAAAATGGAACCCTCATACATACGCTGCCAGTGGGACTCTAAAATGGGTCAACTCCTGTGGAAGACAGTCTGGCAGTTCATCAAAAGGTTAAAGAGGGACTTCCCTGGCAGTGGTTAAGACTCGTGCGCTTCCACTGCAGGGTGCGCGGGTTCCATCCCTGGTCGGGGAATTAAGATCCCGCCTGCCTGCGGCCAAAAAAGTTACCATTAACCCAGCAGTTCTACTAAATATATACGCAAAAGAAATGTGTCCACAAAAAACTGGTAGAATATTGAATTACTTGTAACAGCCAAAAAATGGAAACACGTGTGTTCGTCAACCAATGAGTCAATAAAATATGGTGTATCCACACAATGTGATATTATTGGGCCATAAAAATGAAGTACAAATACACACTACGACATGAACCTTGAAACCATCGTGCTAAGTGAAAGAAGCCAGTCACAATATAGTATGATTTATGTGAAATGTCCAGAGTGACAAAGCCAGAGAAACAGACTATTAGTGGTTGCCAGAGGCTGGGGGGAGGGGAATGGGGAGCAGCTGCTAATGGTATGGGTTCCACTGGGGTGTGATGACAATGTTCGAGAATTAGCTAAAGGTGGTGGTCGCACAACTTTGAATATACTAAAAGCCACTGAATTATACACTTTAAAAGAGTGAATTTTATGTGAATTATATCTCAGTAAATGAAATGTTCACCATTGCCTGAGGCCAGCTTTAACTAGGACCCTTTAACTTTTGACCCTTTTGCCCATTTCATGGGATCTCAGTCTGAGGCAGAAAGGAAAACTCTCGAGTTTGAAGCAATATAAACATTTCCCACAAACTCTCTGGACTTTTTGGAATACAACATTTTACGAAGAAAAATAGAACACTCTTGGGAAAATCCCAGCAATGGACCGAAAAAGAGGTGTTTCCCGCACCATCATTACAAATAGCAGAACCCTGCACTGAGGAGGTTTTCATTAGTTTGGCAAACTAATGAAATGACAAACTATACAGAAATGAATGCACATTGGTGTAAGTTTGCCAACTGTTTTTTCTTAGGAAGAGCTTTCATACATTGGATGAAAGTTCAAGTCCATTTATGTTAAGGGTGTGAAAACAGGCTTGGTTTTGTGGCCGTGGTAGCTGGTAGTAGTGATTTCAGTGGCCTTCCTTGGCAAAATTAAAAGCTGGAAATAAAATTAAAAACAAAACAAACAAACAAAAAAACCCAAAACATTAAAAGCTGGAAACTACGCATGTCTCCAAAACGGGGGGATGGGGGGGTGGGGGCGGTTCTGGTAGTGGAAGCCAGATGCCTGGGTGGGAGCCATTGCTTCTGAGGACATAGGGGAACTCTTGGACTTGGGTTAGCGTGGCTGAGAGAGGACCAGACTGGATCTCCCAGAGGTCAGTACCAGCACAGTACACCAAATTTGTTCTCTTCTCTCTGAAGAATTTTTTTTTCTTTTAAATACAGGACAATGTGAAGAGAACAAAAATAGCCCATAACCTTATCATTCAGAAAACAATTAACATTTAAAAAATAGTAATACATACACATCCCATCTTCCTCCTAACAGCTAAAGTAGGCTGCCCTCACACACTGAGCAGTGCCCTTCAGTGTGTCTCCTCCAGGCCTTTCATGGGATTGTAAGTGAAAGCACGCAAAGGAGAAAGAGCCAGCCTGGCCAAAATGAAATGAGGAGTCTCATGCACCAAGTCCTTTAAAAACGTTTACTGGCTCTCCTGCAGCATTTTACTGAATCATTTTTAGAAGAGGGCTGGGGCGGGTAAAGGAAATCATCCGATGGAGACTTAAATACTGATTATAAAAGTTTTTGTAAAACAACATACATGTTTCAAGAATAAACGCATTCCACAGATACAAACCTGGCAAAGAGAAAAATCAATGAGATTGGGATTGTACTTTTACAAGGCGAACTGGACATAAGCCCTCGAGTGTCTATTGGCAAGTGCGTGAGGGCAAGTGGCCTTGAGGAAACTTGGCCATGAGAGGTTTCCACTGGGCTTGGGAGGGGAGCACCTTGGGGAAAACACCGTACCCGTGAAATAAGGGAAACAGCAAGTGAACATGAGGTGCGGTGAGGACCTCTGGCGAACAGCTCCTGCTGGTTCAGGTCAGGGAAAACCCAAGAGACAGTCCTAAAAAGAAGAGAGCTGTAAGGGAACTGGAGGGCAAGTCCAGTCCAAACATTCTCTTGGGAAAGGAATGAGCAAAGTCACGGTGAGTTACAATCTGACCCTAACAGTAGTAACTTTAAGGCCTGTCAGGGTAATTAAAAACTTCCGTCAGGCGATGCTGTCAGAGAGGAGAGAACGAAGTGGGTTCTGCTTCATCCCCTGCTGCTTCAGGCACTTTTCTGGAGCTAGTAGCTAAGACAAGACCCTGAACATACTTCATCACAGGACGAGAGAGGAAAACCAACAGGCTTTCTGGGTATGGCTTAGCAAAGCCTCAGTTCCCACAGCATCCATCCGAGCTCCTAGCCCAAGAGTGGCCGCCTTAGGCAGGAGGAGACCGGGAGCGGATGGGAGAGCTCGTTAGGTAGGAAGTGTAGGGGCCATCCCCAAACACGTTGGCATAGGACGACTTCAGGAACTGGACGTAGTTCTGCATGCTGCGGTTGGTGCTCTCCGACTGCTCCAGGCGGTCTTTCAGGTCTTGCAGGCGGCTCTGGTAGCGGCGGTCAGCCTAAGAGGAGGAACGGGGCCGGGGCCAAGTGTGTGTGACATCCAGAACAGACAAACCCATAGCGACAGAGACTTTATTAGTGGTTGCCAGGGGTTGGGGGCAGGGGAATGGGAGTGGCTGCTAACAGGTAATTTTATTTCTGAAAATATTCTAAACCTGGATTGTGGTGATAATGGCACAACACTGAATATACTCAGAACCACTGAATTGTGCAATTTGAATGAGGGAATTTTACGGTAAATGCTGTCTTAACAAAACTGTTAATAAAAAAGGGGGTTGGCCTGGGATATCCTGAAGGGATGGGAAAGTGATGCGAGAAAAATAAAACCATGTCATATTCATAAAAACAACAGAACATCTTGCCCTGCAGGCGCCAGGAAGCTCAGATCTCAACCCACTCCCTTCTTGTCTGCTCCTACCCCGTCCTCCCACCCCCAGCCCGACTCACATCGTCCCGGCTCCGCCGGAGCTGGTTGAGTTCAGTCTTGGTCCTGCTCAGCTGGGCCTCAAGGTCCAGAATTTTGTTCTGGGCTGCTCGCTCCTTGGAGGCTGCGTGCTCCTTGGTTTGTTCCACCTGCCAGAAAAGCACAGAGGTGGGGCTGGCTTACCTGGCATGGGGAACACCTGGTAAAGAGAAGGCTGGGCCGCTCCCACTAACTGGTCTCGCTGTGGACAATTCTCTGGAGCCTCAGGGCAGGAGCAAACTATGGGGACAACTTCTGCAACCCCGCTTTACCTGCCCTTTGCCAACGCTCCATGAGTCATCACCTAAGACGTGGTACACCTGTCTGATGCCCACTCAGGCAGCAGTCAAAGGAGCGGTTGTGAATAAAGTGCCAAGTCCTTTACGATAATTGCTCACTTGATCCTTATGATGATTTCATGAGGCAGGTACTACTTCTATGTGCCCATTTCTCAGATGGAGAGATAGGCTCAGAGAGGTTAGGCGATTTGTCCAAAGACACAGAGATAGTTTAGTAATGGAATTGAGACTGACCTGCCTCCTGGCATCTTCAATGGCGCTCTCCAACTGCCTCGCCAGGGTCCCACATTCCCGGGTTTTCTCCTCTAGTCGCAGCTGGGACTGGTGGATTGCCTCCTCCCTCTTGGCAATCACCTGTAGGAACTCGATATTCTGGGCACTGGTCGCCTCCAGTTTCCTAGGTGAAAGCATTCAATCAGATCCTGCTCGTCCCCCTGCCTGTCGGGTTCCACACAGCTGGGGGCTGCCAGCCACCCCGGGCTGGGGTTCTCATCACACCAAGAATCTCCAAGGAACAACAGGAATAAACCAAAGAAATCTGCTGAGCAGCAAGGCGGCAAGGAGCTGTACGAAGGGTGGGAGAAGCACAGACTGACCGCGGCTGTGCTAAGTCTGTATGTCATCACGTGTAATACGGCAACTTGCGGCTCAGGCAGGTGGGTTCCATCATGATTCCCACTTTACAGATGAAGAAACTGAGCCGAAGACAGGTGAAGTCATTGGCTGAGGCCAGCACAGCTAGCACATCTGTCACCGAAACCTACGTGCTTAACTTCTTCTGTTCACTGTTGCCTCCCTCAGCAAAGGGACTTCAGCTGCGCCACTCAACATCATACATGACCAGCCATGGGGCAGCAGTGACCATCCCGTGTGTACACATGGTTCCCGCTGCACTTCCAGGGCACCTTCCAATTTAAGGAGCTCTGCAAGTCCTGCTGAATCCAGCTACACCTTCGAGGCCAGCAGAGTAGAGGTGGAGCCCAGGGCAGACCACCTGCTTTAAGTCCCTGCTGGCAGGCTGTGTGAGCCACCTGGGCCAGTTACAGCCTCCTGGGACCCCAAGCCTTTCACCTCTGAAAACTGAGGCTCCAGCCCTCATTTTACAGATGCTAAAAGCCCTGGAGGAAGACAGTCTAAGTCGCAGCTTTGCCAAGTACCAGCTATGTGACCTTGGGCAAGTCACTTAACCTCTCCCTGAGCTCAGTTTCCTCACATCTAAAATATCAACTCATATATACTAACCTATATGGCACATTTTTGCATGCCGGGTAGTATGCTAAGCCCTTTGAGGATTATCTCATGGAGGACTCACAATAATCCCATGAGCTGGGTTGTTATCCCTACCTTGGTCCCTTTCTCAAGGTGAGTAAACAGAGGTTCAAAGGGTGAAATGACTTGCTCAAGATCACAATGCAGGTTAAGTGGCCAAGTTGGGACCAAGGCCCAGACCTTCTGATTCCAAAACGTGTCCTCTTTACCTGACTGCTTCCAACAGTCCATGAGGAACACGGAAGAACAGATCAGAAAGGTCTTGGGAAGGACGATTGGGAACAAAGAGCAGAATGGGGGGAGGCCCCCACCGCAGCATCCTGGCCCTGCCCGTTTGCTTGGACGAAGCGTGCCTTTCTGATAGGTGATGCCTATGGATGGTCTGACCTTGATCACACTGCTATGGAGCGTCCCCCCTGGCCGGAGAACGCCTTCCTCTCTCCCACGACGCCTACCACTGCAATGGAAGCAGCTTTTCCTCTAAGGTCTGCCTAGTACCTTCCAGGGCCTTGAGTCCCTCAAACACTTCTGCACACTAGGCCCAAAGCAGCTAAGTGGCTGAAAGTCTCAGGTCCTAGGAAGAGGACAGAGATGGGACCAAGTGCCTCTAACCTCTCCAGTTCATCCACCTTCAGACTCAGTTGTTTATTTTCCTTCTGGGAAGCCTGATGTTTCTCTCTTGCCATCTCCAGCTTGTCCCCCTGATGTTCGATCTAAAATGACAGGAACACAGACTGGTTTACGAAAGAACTTCCCGGTACAGCCCTCCCTTCTCCCTGTGACCTGTCATCCACACCCAGGAGAGAGGCACACTGCCCTCAGCAGGCATCTGAGTCTCAACGCACAACCTGGAGGAGAGGGGAGAGCAGGGACAGGTTAGGCCCGACCCCCAAGATTGAAGGCTTTCCTGCGCCGAGAGAAGCCAGCTTCGATCCTGAAGAGCCACGACGACAATTCCTTGATCAGGAGAGGCCAGTCAGTGGGATCTGGGCGGACGTGAGAAGGCAGAAGCAGACGGCAGGCCTAACTGGCCCACATGACACACCACGGAGCTTTACCGAGGATGTAGTTGGGACCGCTGAGTTCATTCTTCTTAAATGGGGACAAATGCAGGCAAGGCCACAGGAAATCTACTGAGTCCTTCAGGCTGGCAAGTTTGAGAAGTTATCCAGAAGGCTGCTTTCTACAGAAGCCTCAGACGTCTGGGCCTGAAAGGCCCTGAGAATGCTCAGGTTCAAGAGAAGCCTGGTGATTTAAGAGTGCTGAGAACCTGGGCTTGGGAACCAGACAGAGCTGGCTGGGTTCCAATCCCTGTTGACAAGTATTAGCTCTGTGACCTCAGGCAATGACTTCTCCCCTCTATGCCCTGGGCTGCTTTCTGTAAAATGGGGAAAATAAGACCCCTTACAAAGTTCCCGGGAGAATTCAATGAGGGAATGCTGGAGCACCGAGCACGTGCTCAAACAATGGTAGCTACTTTCACTGGTACTACAAGGAAGCAGGTTAAGAGAGGGGAAGGGTCTTGCCCAAGGTCACAGTGCAGACGAGAGGCATAGCATTTCTTAGACACCGTAGGCTTGGTTCCAGTAACCCAGAGGCAGACTGCTTCTGGTAGAAAGGAAGTCCTCTTTCAGGACCCCTAGCTCAGGCAAGGGGTCTGTTAAGACTACGGAAAGGCAGCTAAAGCAAGAGAAAGATGGAAAAAAAGAAAACCTATGGCTTGGTGTCTGCTGGTGGCGCATGGCTGAGGGCAGCAGCGGAGCGGGAAGGGCAGAGGCTGGCGGAGACTTGGAACCCTCGGGGAGGGGCAAGAGCAGGAGGGCCCGGCAGCTCCCATCGAGTGGCGGCTCCTATAACTACAATCACATCGTGCAAACACAAGGCATTTGGCACACCAGACTTTTATTTCACAGCACTGATGATAGCTCACTCCTCTGAGAAAGCGGCAGCCAAGAAAAAGGAAGTGGTCCTCCCTGGGGGCCGGGGGGCGTGCAGCTCATCTTGGTAAGCGGGCCCCTGCTCGGGCTAGTTCGTGGGAACCTTTCTGCCAGTCCCTTACCCGGCTGCGCAGGTCTGATATGATGGCTGTGAGGTCGATGTTCTTCCTCTCATAGCCCTGCAGCTGGTCTTGGCACTCTGCCAGCTTAGCCTCCGTGATCTTGAGAATATCAGGCAGCTGCTGCAGGTCAGCCAGCTGGGACTGGAACTGCCTCCGCGCCTGGAGTGGGAGAGAGGGACCCACCGTTGGGAAGGGCCTGGCTGTTGAAGAGGCCAGGCAGAGTGCTTTGGATTTAGGGCAGGGCCGCCCTCAGTCCCCAGTAAAGGATCCTGAAAGATCCACGGGCAGAAGTGCGGCCTCCCTGCAGGCCACTGAGGGTGTCTAGCTGTTCTCTGGGGGGACACACTTGGCCCTGACTGGCCACTTGAGCCTGCCACTCCTTCAGTCATTGAAGAATAATGGCAACCATGTAGCAAACTCCAGGACCCAGGCATTACTCATTAAATTCATACAACAACCTATTAAGTAGGTGCCGTTATCCCCATATAAGGACGCTGAGGATCAAAGGATCATTTGCCCGTGGTCACTCAGCTACAAATTGGCAGAGGCAGGATTCAAGTCTAGTCTAACCTCAAAGCCCCTAGGAAGGCAATCACAATGCTCTAGGTCAGAGGGAAAGCTACAGCCTATCTGGGCTTAGTACATCCTTTTATTAACGAGGAGCCTGAGGACTAGAGAGAGGCAGTGACTTGCCCAAGGTTATGCAACAAGTTAATGGCTGAGCCTGGACTCAATCCATCTCCAAGGTTACTATTAAGATGACCCCTTTGCTTCTAGAGAGACAAGTCATCTCTAGAAGAATAAGGCTCTTTGGGGAAGGGGACAGGAGGAACACTTTCGGTTGGCACAAAATAAAGACATCACACAGAATGAAATAGGCACAGCTAAGGCCTGACAGATCTGTGGATTTGAATCCACTTGGATGTTCCAAGCAGAGGAAATTTTTTTTAAGGAAAGTGAAGAAAGAAGGTAATCAGGATGAGAAAGAGGGATAATGAGGAAGCAGGAGAGAAGGAAGAGATGAGATGAGGAAGGAGAGAGTACGTACACAGTAGAGTGGACCAGCCCAGCAATAAGGACCTTTATGAATCTCTGTCATCCACATCGGAAAGGGCCAATGACAAACAAGACGGACAGACTGACAGACATTGGACTGGGTAGGGGAAGAGGGCGAGGAAGGGGAGCAATACCGTTTCAATCTCTTTGTTCATCTCATCTTTAAGGATCTTGTTCTCTTTGTCACAGCGTTCCAGCTGGGCAGCCACTTCATCAGCCTCCAGTCTGGTCTTCATCACCTGGGGACCAAGAAAGCATCGGGCCATCTTGGGCAGAGCCAAGTTTTGGTGAAAAACACCTTCCCAGGAGAGGCCTTATGGTGAGTCTCCATCCCAGCCTACTGGGAGGCGCTGCCCTGGCAGGCTTGGCACCTGAGAGGCCTACCTGACTCTTATAGTTGTCAATCATTCCCTCGTAGTTCTTAACCGATGCCTTCAGTTGCTGAACCTCGACGTGCGCCTGGTTGAGTTTCTCCTCCATCGGGGTGAAGCTAGCCTAGAAGGGATGGCTCGTTGGTCACCAGTGGGAAGGTTCCGGGGCAGGTGGCCATCCCAACCTCAGCTCCTACTCCGAGGGGCCAGCAAAGGGAAGCCCCACCTACTCAAACCCACGCCAGCAGTTTTTCTCAGAGAGGCATCAGGGCAGGATTCCTGATAAGACCAACTCAAGTGAATACCGATGCAAATAAGAGACTCCTGTGTTTTTTGTTCTAATTACAAACAGCAGTACATTATGGGGGAATTCCCTGGCGGTTCAGTGGTTAGGACTCAGTTCAGCACTTTCACTGCCAGGGGCCCGGGTCCAATCCCTGGTTAGGGAACTAAGATCCCACAAGCCTTGCGGCTTGCCAAAAAAAAAAAAGAGCACTACATTATCACTAAAGAAAAGGGAGATAAAACCAAGAAAAATGAATCATGATGCCTTACTATATGGCTATATATTGATAACCGTGTAGCTATTTTATTTTTTCTAATAAGAATGGGATTATGATATACTTACTGCCTTGCAACGAACTTTTTCAATTAACAAGGAAGTTGGGAACTACTTCTCTCATCAATGAATGTTCTACAACCCAAATGCTCACCTTAGCAGATAGGACAAAATAAATCACGGTATCTCAAAAAAATAACAAGCAATCATTTAAAAGAAAGAGATAAAGCAAAAAAAAAAAAAATCTAAAAAGATATCCACGGAATATGGTTGAAGGAGAAAAGCGAGCTGCAGAATAATGGCTGGATGAATGGATGTGCATGTGTTTGAATGTGTATGTGAGTATCAGGGGAAAAAACTGGAAAAATACACATCTACAGTAACAGGGACCTTCACTTCTATATAACGTTTCTGTGATGTTTTCAACTTTCACTATGAGCATATTTTATCTTTGTAATGATAACAGCTAGGAAAATACACTTCTACAATCATTTTGAACAGTCACACTGTGTTTCACCACACAGACATACCATACTGCAACCAATACCGCAGCTAATTGTTAGACACGGGGCTTATCTGTCATTTATCCAACAATTGCACTACAACAAATGAGATACTACTATCCTCCCACCAGAGTGGCTAAAATGAAGAAGATGGACAATACCAAGTATTATCTCACATATCCCTGATGGGAGTGGAAATCCGTACAACTGCTTTACTATTTGGTGACATCTACCACAGCTGAATTTGTGTATACCACCTGATGACTTGGCATTTCTATTATACTTCAAGGTATAGAAACTGTAAAAATACACCATATATATGCACCAAAAGAGGTACAAAGACATTCTACAACCTAAATGTCCACCGACAGTAAAATGGATAAACACATCGTGGTGCATTCCTACACTGCCCTGCACTGAGAATGATGAACTGCCACACATGACATGGGTAACTTCCACAAACATAATGCTGAGTAAAAGCCATAAAGGCCAGGCACAAAGTTCAAAACCAGGCAAACTAATCTGCGGTGACAGAAGTCAGGATAACCATGCCCTTGGCAGGGGGTGTCTGTAACTAGGCAAGGTCACCGGGGTGCTGGCTTTAAGGTTCAATCAGGGTGACTGATGGACAAAGTTACATTCATTTTGTGTACCTTTCTGTATTATACTTCCTTAAAATCAATTTTACTTAAAAAAAAAAAAAAATCAGTAATAAATAAATAAATAAATAAATAGATCTAGATGTTATTGCCCAGATCAACTAAAAACCAAGATCCAACCTGGCTCTGCAACATCTACCTCTTTTCGGTTGCCTCTCGCCCTCGGTGTGCTAGGAGGGTGTAGAGGGAGTGGTTAAGAGCTAGTGGTTAGAGCCCCAGGGTCAGACTGAGGTTCAAATCCCAACTCCAACGCTTCCAAGGGCAAAATCTTGGCAAGAAACTTAAACTCTAAGCTTCAGTTTCCTAATTCTGTAAAGTAGAGATAATAATTACACTATCGGGAGGCTAAAGTGAGAATTAATGCATGTGAAGGGGCCCAGTAATGCCCCAGAAGAGTCAATGTTAACCTCAAAGTCAGGTCCATCTCACATGCAGGGGCTGACTGTCATGCTAAGCACTTCACATGCATCACCACCTTCTCACAAGGACCTCATTTCCTCCCGCTGAGGAAACTGCAGCAACACAGGAGGAAACGTCCCGTTCAGGTCCTGCAGCTCTAAGAGGCAGAGTCAGGACTTGAATCCAGGTCTTTCCGACTCCAGAACAAGCCCTCTTATCACGCTGCTGCCTCCAGGCCCTCTGAAGGCCCCGGTGGTCATCTCTGGGGCCCAACCAGGAGTACCATCAGCCTCTGCTCTCCACCCAACCGTCCTGGTCCCGGCTCTCACTACCAACCTTCAGCCTCTCATTCTCTAGCTTGAAAGCGGAGTACTCGGCAGTCTGCCGGTGTAGTCTCTCCACCAGGCTGTCCCGGTCTTCCCGCATCTTCTCCTCCAAGGTTTGTTGTTGGTTTACAAGATCTGTCACCCGGCTGGAAGGTCACAAAGTGAAAGCAGACAGAATCAATTCCACAGGTTGTGAGCAGCCCTGGACTTGGTATGGAGTAGGGCCAAGTGTTCCTACCCAGGTCACCCATGTCTCTCTTCTTGGCACCCTGCCTGCTCCCCAGTCTCCACCCTGAGGAGCAGCTGCCCTGCCACTGCCGCCTGTGGCATTCCCAGGTATCCCACTTCGTATTAACAGCCTTTTAAGGTTTGTCTCTCATACCACCCCCTCCAAGAAGCCTTCTCTGTTGTGATCCTCCCGTGAGGCTGAGACACTCCCTGAAGACAAGGGCCAGAGACACAGTACCTCCCCAGCTCCCCACGGCACCCCCTGGATCTCTTAACCCGTTAGGAACTGAAGTTAGGACAGAACTCGCAGGCCCAGTGGTCAGGGATAACCCCAGGCACCCGTCTCCCTCAGACACATATTCCACTGGGGTTCTGTCTCCCCCAGTCGAGGGCAGGTGCCATGAGCAATAACAAAGCACAAGCTTCCCTTGCTCCCTTCCCCTACCCGCAGGCCCTCAGCAGGGCTGTAATCCAAGAATAGAGACTGAGGAGAAGAGCACTGGGGCTCTTGACTGTAGACCCACTTGATACTGCAGAACCTTCGCACAGTGTATGTTTCCAGTATTGATAAATTACAGTTCACCGCTCAGCAAATATTTAGTGAGTACTGACTAGGCCCAAGAAAACGCCTTGTATTGGTTTACTAGCAAACTCCTACACAACTTTATTTTTTAGTTTTTAATTTTTTTAATTAATTTATTTCATTTATTTCTTTTTGGCTGCGTTGGGTCTTCGTTGCTGCACACGGGCTTTCTCTAGTTGCGGCGAGTGGGGGCTACTCTTCGTCGAGGTGCGCAGGCTTCTCATTGCAGTGGCTTCTCTTGTTGCGGAGCATGGGCTCTAGGCGAGCGGGCTTCAGTAGTTGCGGCACGCGGGCTCAGTAGCTGTGGCTCGCGGGCTCTAGAGCGCAGGCTCAGTAGTTGTGGCACACGGGTTTAGTTGCTCCACGGCATGCGGGATCTTCCCGGACCAGGGCTCGAACCCATGTCCCCTGCATTGGCAGGTGGATTCATAACCACTGTGCCACCAGGGAAGTCCAATGCATTTGTTTTTTTACTGCTGTAACCTTCAAGGCCAACACATAGCCTGTTATATAGTAGATGCTCGATAAGTATCTTTAAATGAATGATCACATGACTATAGCTGACTCTGAGAATGGTCACTGTTGACAGTTCACCAGTGGCAAGAAAGGTATGAGTTCAGTCACCTTCAACTTGAGGCCACTTTTGCCCCCTGCTCCCAGGCCATACCTCTGACCTACTGACTGGTGGACAAAATGACTGAGAGAAGACAGAGGGATTACCAGCTGCCCTGTGCCCCAAGGACAGGAAGGAGGATACCAGCGTGGCCTGTGCCCATTTCCCATGCCGTGCAGACTGGGGCCCAGCTCAAGCCCAGGTGTGAGCAGAGAAGGCCCCTGCATAGTGCCTGCCGGGGGGTAGGATGCTGGGGCAGGGGCTGGTGCCAGGACCCAGGGTCCAACCAGAAGGCCCACCCCAGGGCCGCCCACAGCTCAGTCCGATGCAGCCCCTGACCAGAGAAGACCAGATGGCAGCCGTGTGAGCGACGTGAGCTGTCGCGGGTTGCCTGGCGCCGTGCACTGGCACACCCCCTCCTCCCATCGGCCCACACGCCCTCTCCTAACACAGACGTACTCGTTCAGGACAATAATTTCCAGCTCGAGGTCCCCCTTGTCTTTCACAACTTGGTTGTAGCGGCTCCTCCATGATTCCAGAGTGGATAAAGCTTCAGCAACATAAAGATCCTGGGAACATGGGACAGAAGGGCCCATCAGCCTGGTGTCACCGCTGAAGCCAAGCAAGCTAGGAGTCACCCCAGGTCACCCCTCACCCTGATAACTTCAACCTCACTCCTGCAATTCCTTCCTAGAAGCACTGAGAGTGAAGCGGGAGCCCAGCTGTTGCTTTTGAGTTTCCAGCATCCCACGCGCCCTGACCGCAAATCCTTCCTTAACCGTCATTCCCACCCACAATATGGATGTGGTTAAAATGTCCCACAAACCCTCCACTTGCCTCCAGCCAGCTGCCCACCCCCATTGTCATCCTTTTACCCATTTACTGCCCCCCCGCCTCTCCCTCCACCCAGCAGCCAGCAGTCCTCCCAGCTCATTCACCCTTTTCCACTGCCATCTTCCTCTCCGTTCGCCCACCCGCCCGGCCACCTCTACTCAGCTTTTCACCTCTCCCTGCTCAAAGCAGCCATCCGCTGGCAGCCAGCCCACCCCCGACCCTTCGCCGTCGGCCAGCCCGTCTCGGGGAGGCCTGCTACCTTGTCAGCAAGCTGCACGTGCAGCTGCTCAGCGTACTCCTCACTCTTCTCAGCTCGTTCTTTCTGGGCTCGGATGGCCCTCTTCAAGGACTCTTTGTCTCGTTCTCCCTTCTGCTTCAGTTCCTTCAGTTGCTCCATGATGGCCTCCACTTCCGCCTTATGCTGGTTTCCGCTGCGCTCCAGATTCTGGGAGAGGACGGCCCGGGAGCAGGTGTGGGGAGAGGGACAAGGATGAGGGAGAGTCGGAGGAGAGAGACAAGGAAGGCCGGGAAAGGGCAAGGCAGAGAGTAGAGGTGAGAGGGGACGAGCAAAAAGAAGGAATGAGGGAGAGAGAAATCAGGTCAACTGTGTGGAGGCATAAAGCTCCCCCAGTGCAGAGCAGAGGTGAAGGCCCTTCCCAGCTCTCCGTAGCACCCCTCCCATTACTGAACCCACTGGGGTCTTAGTGTGAAGACAGAGCTCTTCTGGAATCCTTCCTTGAACTCAACATAGTGGTCAGAGATATTCCTCAGTCCCTCAGCAGAGCTGTGACCTCAGCAGGTCCCTGGCTCAAAGATGCAAGCTGCATTGGAGCCCACCCCCTACCCCATGGGTAGTTACGAGAACTGAAGGCCTAAGGGATTAAGTGATTGACTCAGGGGCATGGCACCCAATTGGTCACTGCTGGGAAGGGCACCCAAGACCCTCAGGGTCCACTGCTCTTGCCACTGGCTCAGAGTGCTTTGGCAACAGCGGCCCTGTACACCTTTAGGGCAAAGCCTTCCTGAGTGTGAGAGCCTTGGCCAGGCCACTGCCCTTCGACTGCCAGGCCCCGCCCCCTCCCTTCCCCACCTGTGGGGCTGGCAGGTACCTTGATCTGCATGCACAGGCGACTGTTCTCTGCCTCTTTGCACCGAAGCTGTGCCTGCAAATGCCCACGCATGGTCTCCATGGACTTCGAAAGCTCAGATGCTGTCTTCGCTTGAGCCTTTGGAGAGACAGAGAAAGTGGCAGAGCCGGGGTTTGAACCCAGCTCTCCTGTTCCAGAGCGCACTTTACCCACTAAGCTCTGCTGGCCCATATAGAGGAGCAACTGCTGGGGACGGTACCTTCTCACATTGTATTTCCTGGAGGAGCTCTTCCACCTCCTTGTCTTTGTCTTGCAGCAGTAATAGCAGGCGCTGGAGAGGGCACACACACACTGTCTGAGCTCCCTGCGAAGGGTGAGGAGGCCCCACCCAGGGAGGACAAACACTCCTGTGAGTGCCTGGCCACTGGGCCCAAGTCCCAAATACATTGGCCCAAGTCACAGAGACCCTAGCAGGAAGCACCCAACATCTGTATCACAATTTTTTACAACAATTTAAAATAATGCTAGTTGTGGGACACACTGAAACACAGACACACAAAACACTAAGGAAGCCCCATAATCCCCCACCCAGAGATCACCATTGTTAGTACACATTAAAAAGTCAGATACCTATTTTGCACTATAACCACATTTACCATAGTGTGATTAAATCTTCTATATCTTTTGAAAAAGCACCTTAACATTTCAATTTACGGATGTATCATAATTTGATAAGGCTCTTGAGCTGGGAATGCAGGTTTAGGCATTATCGCCATGACCGTTGAATCCCCTACAGCGATGTTCGGCCAGGCACCGAGGGCCAAGGGCCAAACCTCGGGAACCATGGTCTCTATTTCTTTCTTTCTCTTGGAGACTCCCAACAGGCATTAATACATCAAAGGCTCCAAAAGGTATTGTAGTTAAGCAGCTGGTTTAACTTGTCATTCAGGCTGGGCAGCAGTTCCCCAAATTTATTTGGCCATGGATCAACCCCCCCTTTTGTTTCTTGTACCCATTAACACCTTGAGGAACTCAGGGCTCTATGGAACAGACTTTGGAACATGCTGCCTTGGGAGAGATTCCTTGGGAGGATTGGAATTGTTGAGTCAACAAGTCTGTACCAGAATATAAATAAGGAAATTCAGGGAACAGACTCTGATGATTTACAAATCCATCACTGTCATCACCATCCCTCATGCTGATGTCCAGCTTGGTGGTTCAAGCTCTCGAGTGATTGACTAGACAAGCCCAGTGGGGCAGGAGGGACGGGGATATGTGTTTCATGATTTCACAGATCATGAAACTAAGACCCAAAGAAAAGTCAGAGCGGGGCTCCAGCCCTCTTGCCGCCACTCAGCACCTCTACGCCGTCGCCTATACCCCCTGGAGCAGGCAGGGGGAGCTGTGTGTTACCGCTTTCTCGGAGTCCGCCTCTGCCAGCCGTTTCAATAACGTTCCTTGTTGCTCCATCAACTTTTCGGAATCCTTCAAGGGAAGGCAGGGAAAGCCAACTCATTAAGCAATAAACTGAGATGTCTACATCCTCTAGGTCCTGTTCCTTTTCTAAAAATTATACTTCTAATGATAGAAGTAGTAAATTATATTCTCATTATAAAATATTTAATGAAAACCGATAAAGTCCCCCTCATCCCTACCTCCAAATCCAGCCCTGCCGTTATGAGTTCGGACTGTCTTGCCCATCCTATCTCTATGCATTTATACGTAGCTACACCTAGAGAAGTATCTTTTGGGGGATGAGGGGTGGGAAGGGATTAATGTGTAATTTTACCAAAATGATATCATACTGTATTTTTGTGTCACAACTGGATTTTTTAACCATAGTTTTATTGAGATATAAATTCAGATACAAGTCACCAATTTGAAATGTATAATTCAATGGTTTGTGGTATATTACATTGTGATTTTTTTAATTGTGGTAAAATATAACAAACTTTTTCATTTTAAGTGTAAAATTCAGTGGCATATGGTACATTTCCAATATTGTGTAACCAGTATTACCATCTAGTTCTAGAATTTTTTCATCACCCTAAAAGGAAACCTGCACCTGTCAAGCTGTCAGTCTCCATTTTCCCCTCCCCCCAGCTCCCCCCAAACTCCTAATCTGCTTTCTTTTTTAGGGGGCGGGCACACCACATGGCTTGCAGGATCTTAGTTCCGGGACCAGGGATAGAACCCAGGCTCCAGCAGTGAAAGTGCTGAGTCCTAACCACTGGACCGCCAGGGAAATCCCCAACCCCTAATCTGCTTTCTGTCTCTAATATGCTGTGGCATTTTTTAACTTCTCCCCGTAACCTTTGGGCAATAAGGTGGTTCCCAGGCTCTGCAGCTGTAAACACGGCAGCAGTGGACATGTTGGGCACGTACTAAGTGTCTCTTCAGGATTGATACAAAGAGTAAGAATGGCTGGGCCCGAAGATCTGTGATTTGTGGCAGGTGACATGCCCTGCAAAATGCCTGCACTGACGCACACAAACAGGACGTGAGAACGCCGGGCAGCAGCCAGCCTCTGCCTGTTGCCAGTCTTGCCAGCATGAATCCTGCTGTTTTAGTTTGCATTTCCCTATTTATGCATATGCTTATTAGCCATTTAAGCTTCCTCTTCCCCGGACTGCCTGCTCACACCTTTGCCCACTCTCGCACAGGGCTGTGTCTCTGAACTGTCTCTATTCTTCCCAGTCACCTAAATAAAGTGTCCCTAGAAGAAATCTCACCCCCCTTTCCCTTTCAGTCCCACAGGTCACCTTTGCAGGCTAAGAGAAAAGGGCTCCCTGGTCCCAAAGTTTCCCAGGAACCTAGGAACTGGAGGAAGACAGCATTATGGGTTCTCTAGCAACAAGAGGAGGCAAAGAACGTAGGACGAAAACCTAGGCCAGGGACCCAGAGCCTGAAGCTATTCTCACTGCCCCGACAGGCCATGCCCTCTGAGCCTCTGGGGGACTCTACACAAACTAACACACCATCTCACCAAATCCCCCACTCTGAGGAGCCAGGCACTATCACCACCCCCATTTCACAGACGAGGAGATCGAGGCTGGGAGAAGTGAGGTGAGCTGCCTGAGATCACACAGCCAGAGATGGCAGAGCTGGGCGCTAAGCCAAAGGACTCCAGAGCCAGAGCATTCCCCCAGCACACTGAGTACTCCCCAGTAAGCACCGCAGCGGGGCTGTGGTCCTGAGGGCCACATGGGCGGGAGGAGGTGAGAGCCTGTACAGAACCTGGAATGCCTGCTGCGGTGGGAGTTTAAATTAGCTGACCCTTCACCTCCAACTGGAGATTCTGGGATTCCGGGATTGTAGGAGCTAAGAAGGCGAAAAGGGAAAAAACTGGTAGGAAGACGTTTTCTGAAGCCCCGCCCCCCCCCCACCGCCCCCAGTCCCAGGACAAACAGCAGCGACAGCCACCATTTACCAAGTACCCACTGCATGCCCGGAGTACGCACAGTCCTCGTCCACACATCACTTCTAAGTCCCTCACAACCCCACATGGAAGATGCTATTCCCATTTTATAGGTGGGAAAACTGAAGCCCAGAGAGGTAAAAATCACCCACCCATGAACACTGAGCTGGAAATGAAACAGATAAAACTATTTTAAGAGAATAATTTAGCTATAACTAGTAACATTCATAGAAATATATTCTGGAAACCCTCAAGTACACCAGGATAGTACAGACGAATGCGCAAAGTAACACTTGTAAAAGCAAACAACCAAAAATTGTCTCCATCAACAGAAGAGTGGGTAAATAAGTTGTGGTATTGTCATAAAATGGAATAGAGCAGTGAAAATGAACTACCTTAGGCTTCAAGGATAAAAATGGACGGATCTCAGAGAAACATTGATTGAAAAAAGCCAACTCAGAAGAAAACATATGGAACAATATCATTTATGTAAAGTTTGAAAACATGCTAAACGATACTATATGTTGCTTAGGGATACATATATAAGTGAAAAACTCTCAGATTCCGGATAGAGTTTCCCTCTGGTGGGAAGATGAGGTTACTGCCAAAGGAGACACCAAGAGGGATTTAACCGTGGGGACGAGGTTTTGTTTGGAAAGCTGGATAGTGGGTACACTTTTACTTATTTTAAATATTAATTTTTAAACTACAAACAAAGGAAGTTGACACTGTTTTTTTTAAAAAGTTAAACTAAAAAAAATATCTCATCAGGACGGGCTTTTTTTTTTTTTGGCTGCATCTCGAGGCTTGCAGGATCTTAGTTCCTCAACCAGGGATCGAACCCACGCCCACGGCAGTGGAAGCGCCGAGTCCTAACCACTAGACCGCCAGGGAAGTCCCAGCATGGGCATTTTGAGACTCTCGGTATCCCTTTGGTTTTGAACCAAACAGGAAGACAGCTGTTTATACTGTCAGTCTTTTCAGAGTCATTTGCTAACATAAAATATATTTCAGAGACCACCTTTTAAGAAAACAAAGTGATACCATACAACGTGTCCGCCAGCCATTAAGCCACCTGCTTCACCAAAACTCAGGTCTGGTCTTCTCCCCGCTTTGTCGCATGACCCCTGGGATGGGCTGAACCCCTGCCTGACTCTCCACTGTTCTTCTGACTTTCAAGGTCCTTCCTGTGCCACCAGGCCCACTTCAACAACGAAGACAGCACTCGTCTACCAGATGCCCAGCATTTCATATGAATGATTTCAGCAAATCTTTCTATGGCCCCCTCAGGTCAGGCAGGCACCAAGAATATTTTCTTTTTACAGACAGGAGCCTGCGGTGCTACAGGGCCAGGGCTCCGAGTGAGCACTGGGTAGGGGTGCGGCTAGGACCGCAGCTCACCTCTTTGCAGTGCTGTTCCCTCAGCAGTTCTCGGAGGGTGCGGTTGGTCTCCTCAAATGTGCTCAGCTTCTGCAGGAGAAGTTCCTTCTGCCTTGTTAGGGTGTTGATGTCCGTGCAGGTCATTTGTTTCTCCTGGAAGACAGCAGGCAGTCTTGCCAGGCACAGGTGGAGAAGGGAAGAGCTGGCACAGGGAGTCCCCATGGGGAGCTTAAGAGGTATCGGTGCCAGGCAGCCCGAGCAAGAAGAGCTGGGCAAAGGCAGGCTTCCCGGAGGAGGCAGACCTGGAAGGATGGGCAGGTTCTGAGCCTGCTGAGAACACCAGGTGGGGAAAAGGGCGGGAGAGTTCGGTGTGGGCGAGTGCAGTTAGGGTGGGCTTCTTGGACAAGGTGCGCTTCCTGGACGACAACATTTGGTGGCTGATACTGGCAGGAATCAGACACGTGCCTTGACTCACTGTGATCCCAGGAGACCCACGATGACATCTCAGAGGCCCTGGCTACCAAAGGTCAGCCTCGAAGGTCAGGGCCCAGAAGTGAGAAGAGGGGTGGGGGCCGAGGAGTTAAGTGTGCCCTGCCCTGGCCTGAAGATGTCATAAAGTCAGCATGACGACTGCGTAAAGACCCCGCCACGGTGTGCAGCTGCCCCCGCTCTGGGCCCGGCCCCGGCACTGGGTGGTTGGGCTGGCCACCTACCGTCTTCAGTTTCCCGATGGTATCCTTCAGGGCCATGACTTGTTTGGCCGCAGCAGCCCCATCCATTTCAGCCTCCATCAGCTTGGACATGAGGCACTCCTTCTCCTGCTGGAGGTGTTTCTTCTGAAGCCTGGGCCCAGAAAGAATAGGGCTCTGTGAGCCCTCCCAGGCCCCTGCCCACCCGGAGCTCCGACGCTCACCTCACAATGCCGTGCGAGGCTCATCTCCTGGTCAGGGAACAGTGGGGGAGGGGGCAGGGATGGCCCTTCTGGCCCGAGTGGCCTTCTGGAAGGACACCTGGTCACCAGAGCAGGGCCTCCACACCGGGGGACATTATGCCACCTGTTTGTCTCTCAGACAGAAATCAGTGTCACCTCATTCCCCAGCCACTGCCATGGCCACCTAACTACCATCTTCAGATCCGCTTTTGAGCCCTCCCCTCCACTCTCCCCATTGGAGCCAAGTCTGGTCACACCACTTCCTGCTTCGAAAACCCTTCTGTGGCTCCCAACCGCCCTCGATGCAAACACCCTGAAGTGGCCACCAAGAGCCGGCCCCTGCCAACCTCCGTGGCCCCCCTTCCCCTTGGCCCACCCTCTCCCCTTGCTCTGCCCCGCTTTTCATTTCTTAGTTGCAAACTCCTCCCGCCCTGGGGCCTTCCTGCAAGATGTTCCTGCTACCTGGTGTGTTTTCCTCCCCCGCACTCACCTGCCTAGCACCTGGCCATCCTGCTGGACTCCCGTTGTTTCCAGAAAGGCCTCCCTGATGCCCTCCCCCCGGAACTCTGCGGGGCCCACTTCTCTGACCGGGAATCATGAGCGCATTAGTGACTCTGTTGAACACTGTAACCCGGGCTAGGCTGGTGCTCCCGCAAGAGGGAAGGTGCCCAGGGCAGCGCCGCCTTACATAGTGAAGTCCTTCTCCTCCTTGATGCGCTCGATGCTGTGCCGCAGCACCGTGTTCTCGTGCTCGGTCTCGGCCAGCTCTTGGGCCACCTCCTCCAGCTCCTCCTTGCGTTCCTCCAGGAATCTTTTGGCCATCTGGCGCTCTCCCTTCTGCATCTTGACCTGTGCAGGGGCATGCAGGCAGGGGCCACTGAGGGGAGGAGCTCCTCTCCACCGCATCTCAAGGCCCGCTGCTTTGGACAAAGCGAGGGGCACCTCCGATTGAGCGCTCCATACTACTGAGGTCCTTTGGGCGCAAGCTCAGTCAATCGTCACAAAGACTCTGGACAGACATGATTCCTCTCATTTCCTCGTCACTGAGCAAAGGGAGCAAAGGGAGCCTGAGTGACTTTCTGGCTGGGGACAGAGCCAGGATACAAACGGTTGTTCAGCTGGCACTCCACGGGAGGAGAGATGTCACAAAAAGGCCCCTGCCCCTCGGGCTGTGGAGAAAGGCGGGCCTGTTACCAGGCAGCCACCAGCCGCAGGTTCTCCAAGAGGGCCCTGGGCCCCAGTCGCAGGGGAGGACTAAAGACACAGGCCCCGTCAGCAGCCGCAACGAGGAGTCCACGGCAGCTCCACCAACTTATTAGTTGGGGGCCTTGGACTTCCAGGTTGTTTCCAATTTCATTGCCACATCCCACCCAAAGACACAGCCCAGCAACTGGGGACAAACTTCCTCTGCCTGTTTGGGGCATTGTTTTCTGTTTTTGTTTTTTTTTAACTTTTGTATAAAATGGAAAACAGAGGCCCCAGTGTCCCAGTCACTTCATCTCCAAGACAGGGACAATAATACCACCGGCTTCGTTTACTGTAGTAAAAAATCAAACCAGGCCATCCATACAGAGCACCAGGCAAGGTCAGGGCCAGGCCTGGGCTAAGTGCTTGATGGAAAGGGATCCCAGGTTGCCCCGACTACCTCCCCAGGGGCACGTGAAACCCTGGGAGGCCTGCAGAGGCAGCAGGAAGGAGGTGTCCACCAGGAACTCACCTGGCAGTCCCAAGTGTCCTCGGGACACTGGCCAGCCTAGCCCCCTACCTCCCTCACCTCAGACTTGAGACAACCAACCGTGTTCATTAGACTGTCAATCTTCTTATCATAACGGTTCATTTTACAGTGACCCGAGTCGTCATCTTCGGTAGAGAGGTCACTTAACCGCATCACTGAGACCAGCTTTTCTGAAGATGGTGGTGTGATCTCCAGGCAGTGAGGTGGATTCTGATGTAGAGGAGGGAGAGACACATGAAGTCATAAGGCAGAACTGCAACCATTGGTCCCACCATCCCTGGCTGTCCGCTGAGCAGGAAGAGCTAAAACTGCTACAGGGCAAAACCACAGAGACCCCAAGGGGAAGGGCACACCGACCTTCTTGGTGGAACACTGCCTCATTACCTACCCTTGTTTTTTTTGTCTTTTTTTTTTTTTTGCAGTACGTGGGCCTTTCACTGCTGTGGCCTCTCCTGCTGCGGAGCACAGGCTCCGGATGCGCAGGCTCAGTGGCCACGGCTCATGGGCCCAGCCGCTCCGCGGCATGTGGGATCCTCCCGGACTGGGGCACAAACCCGTGTCCCCTGCATCGGGCGGACCCTCAACCACTGCGCCACCAGGGAAGCCCCCTACCCTTGTTTAAATGTTGTTTCTGAAGCTCTTCTAACATAGAAATAAAAAGCGTGTGTTACACAACTACTGAAGCCCGCACGCCTACAGCCCGTGGCTACTCTTCATTGCGGTGCGCGGGCTTCTCATTGCGGTGGCTTCTCTTGTTGCGGAGCACGGGTTCTAGGCGCGTGGGCTTCAGCAATTGCGGCACACGGGCTCAGTAGCTGTGGCTCGCGGGCTCTAGAGCGCAGGCTCAGTAGTTGTGGCGCACGGGCTTAGTTGCTCTGCAGCATGTGGGATCTTCCCAGACCGGGGCTCAAACCCGTGTCCCCTGAATTGGCAGGTCGATTCTTAACCACTGCACCACCAGGGACATCCCCAGTGTCAAGTTTAAAATGAAGGATATAACAAATTGGCAAAAACTGTGATTCCCAAAGTTGGCAAAAGTTGGGGGCAGTAAATATTTTCATACACCTAGGGTAGACATGAAATATGTCAAAAGTCTTTTAAATGAATATGAATACATTGGATATTGTATACATTGTATATTGTATGAATACACTGAATATTGTGGATAGTTGCAAAGGCAAACAAATCTTCTATAACAGGTATTTTAAGGACAAGTGGAGAAATTTAAATATTAACCAGATGTTACATGATTAGGAAATTAAGTTTAAAAAAAAATGAAGTGAAGTTTTTAGGACTAATCACTGTTATTTTGGTTATGGAGAAAATGTTATTAGAAATGCATACTGAATTATTTAGGGTTAAAATGGTATTTCTGTAAAATATTTACCTAAATACATCAGCATAAAAAAATATTTTTTAAAATGCATGTGCTCCTCAGAGAAGTTTATGCAAAGCTGTATAATACTTTCAAGACTTCAAAAAGATATTCTGATCTGGGGGCGAGTGTTTCCATGTTTTTTATTGTTGTTGTTTTTTTAACTTTTAATTAATTAACTTATTTATTTGGTTGCACCGGGTCTTAGGTGCAGCAGGCGGTCTCCTTAGTTGTGGCAGGCAGGCTCCTGAGTTGCAGCTCACAGGCTCCTGAGTTGTGGCATGTGAACTCTTAGTTGCGGCATGCATGTGGCATCTAGTTCCCTGACCAGGGATCGAACCGAGGCCCCCTGCATTGACTGTGCAGTCTTATCCACTGCACCACCAGGTAAGTCCCTCCATGGGATTTTGATATATTGAATTTGACTCTCTCATTCTATACATTTATTCCATTGTATTAAGTAATTGCTATTTCTCATTGTTTGCACCGTTTTTTCCTTCTCGTAAGCTGAGGTGGCTAAACTTCTGTGCTAATTTCCAGGGAAAGGTGATGGCTATCAGGAATAAAAGGAAGTATTTTATTTTTTTAATTTTTTTAACATCTTTATTGCAGTATAATTGCTTTACCATGGTGTGTTAGTTTCTGCTTTATAACGAAGTGAATCAGCTATACATGTACATATATCCCCATATCTCCTCCCTCTTGCGTCTCCCTCCCATCCTCCCCATCCCACCCCTCTAGGTGGTCACAAAGCACTGAGCTGATCTCCCTGTGCTATGCGGCTGCTTCCCACTAGCTATCTATTTTACATTCAGTAGTATATATAAGTCCATGCCACTCTCTCACTTTGTCCCAGCTTACCCTTCCCCCTCCCAAAGGAAGTGTTTTATATGGGTGTAAACTGTTATGTCAAACAAGTAGGACTCATAGGGTGCAATTTAAAAAATGTATGTGCCCTTTGTCCCAGCAATTCTATTTTTGAGGAATTTATCAAGAATATCTAAGAATGTGAATTAATATTTAAATTCAAGGCTAGGGTATAGATAAATGTACAGCAAGATAGTATTGGTTAAATACTAACAGTACACAAATGTACACACAATGGAATAATGCCTTAAAAAAATAATGTGCGATATAAATATAGTCAAAATATGTGGAAAAAAGAACATTACAACAATAAGTAAAATATAATCCCATTGTTACAAAAATCAAAAGAACACGTCTATTCACAAGAAAAGATCCAGAAGTCTTGCACCTAGAAGTTACATGGGTCTCTTCTCAGGGTGGTGGAATTACAGGTGGTTTTTACTTTCTTCCTTGTGCTGATTTAGATTTTCTAATTTTTTCTAATTTTCAACAATGACTGTGCATTACTTTTATAAGAAAAAGAGTTATTTTAATATATAAAAGAAAGACAATAGGAAAATGTATAGACAGTATGATTACAATTTGAAAAAAAAACTCCGCATGGGAAAAAGTGATAATAAATGTATCGCAATATTAATAGTTTTAGGGTGGCAGTGACAAGAACAGGACTGGTGATGTTGTTTCTTGAGCTGGGTCTTTGTAAAAATTCATCAACACGCTTCTGATGCATGTACTATCCTGCACTTTCCAATGAAAAGGTTTTAAAACTTAATAGCAGCCAGATAAGAGTAGTAGAATTACAGTGATTGTCTAGTTTTCTGTATTTTCAGCTTTCTGTCATAAAAATAGATGACTTAATTAGTAATAGGGTAGAGAAAAAACCCAGACCTGCTTTCTCCCAAAGATCTTATCTTGTGTACCAGGAGGGGTTTTAAAAATGAAACACGGGGACTTTCCTGGTGGCGCAGTGGTTAAGAATCCGCCTGCCAATGCAGGGGACACGGGTTCGAGCTCTGCTCCAGGAAGATCCCACATGCCGCGGAGCAACTAAGCCCATGCGCCACAACTACTGAGCCTGCGCTCTAGAGCCCGCGAGCCACAACTACTGAGCCCACGTGCCTAGAGCCCGTGCTCCGCAACAAGAGAAGTCACCACAATGAGAAGCCCATGCACCGCAACGAAGAGTAGCCCCCGCTCGCCACAACTATAGAAAGCCCGCATTTAGCAACGAAGACCCAACACAGCCAAAAGTTAATTAATTAATTAATTTAAAAAGAAAGAAAAGAAACATGAATCCCCACAAGCACATAGCAGCTTCCGGGGTCCATGTCCAGCTCCACCACAAACTCTTCCTCCTGTGGTCTTTTCTCTCTTGTCCATAATGGTAAGGGCAGGCTGGGGCCTCCCAGGAACATGGAAGGTCACTGAAAAATGGAAAGGGGCTGAACCAAGAGGACAGCATGAAAGACAGCTACTGCTTGAGAGGTGGTAAGTCACATCTCTGGGCCCCTCCGTTTCTAGAATTCTGTGGCCCCAGGACTGGACGGGGCACTGAGCTTTCCAGGGGGGACCATAGTCCTAGCAACCCATGTCAACAGGAAGTCCATTTCCATAGCGGCATGACTTTGATATATAAGTTGAGAACTACTAAGTCTCTTCATTAAAAAAAAAGAAAAGAAAAAAAGCATTTTAAATAAAATATAGTATGTTTGTTATAAAGAAATTCAAGCAAACCATGAAAAGATAAAGCATTAAAGCCTCCCACCCCAGAGGTAATCACTGCTTACCACTTCTTATATTTCCTCCCCAAAACAGGTTTGCACATATAAACATATCCATACACACATGGACACACAGATGCACTTTTCTGTGCAAATAGGGTCAAACTCTCCGTGCTGTGCCACTTGGTGCTTCATTATCGTCTAGAAATATCTACCTCAATCTTCTAGTGGTTGCATGGCATTCCATTGTATGGATGCATCATAATTTAACCAATACCCTCCTGACAGACATTTAGGTTGCTTCTAATTTTTCTCTATTGCAAACAATGCTTTAGTAAACATCCTGATACACACACAGATCCCTGTACTCTTCTGTGACTTTTAGCATCAATTCCCAAGTGTAGAACTATAGAATCCATGTTTGGATGGATGCTGCCAAACTGCCTCCAGAACGGCTGAATCGGTTTCACAATCCACTCAAAACTGTCCAGGGGGGCTTCCCTGGTGGCGCAGTGGTTAAGAATCCACCTGCCAATGCAGGGGACACGGGTTCGAGCCCTGGTCCAGGAAGATCCCACATGTCGCGGAGCAACGAAGCCTGTGCGCCACAACTACTGAGCCTGTGCTCTAGAGCCTGCGAGCCACAACTACTGAAACCCGTGCACCACAACTACTGAAGTCCATGTGCCTACAGCCCGTGATCTGCAACAAGAGAAGCCACTGCAATGAGAAGCCCGTGTACCGCAACGAAGATCCAATGCAACCAAAAATAAATAAATAAAACAGATAAATTAAAAAACATATATTAAAAAACAACAACAACAAAAAAAAAACTGTCCAGGGACTTCCCTGGTGGTCCAGTGGTTAAGACTCTGTGCTTCCACTGCAGGGGGCACAGGTTCGATCCCTGGTTGGGGAATTAAGATCCCACATGCCACGCTGCGCGGCCAAAAAAAAAAAAACACACACAAAAAACCATCTAAAAAAGATTCGTTGATACCTCCCATATGCTTGTCAACACAAGGTATTCATAATCTTTTCAACTTTTTTCCATTCAATAAAAATGATAGCTTGTTTTATCTAAAATGTAATTGTTTCTAATTTACATTTCACTGATTATTAGTGAGGTACACATAGTAAAAAAAATCTAAAAAGCATTTTAATTCCAGTCTTCCTTGCACTTTATATAGAGAGATATGTCAGAACACTTTTCATTTATTCCCTAGAATACCAAACTCCCTTTGTCTCTTAGGGATAACATGGTAAATCAGGGAGTCAAGAGAGTGAAGTATGACTCTAAACTTCAGAGTAATTACTATTATTTCTAATTTTAAAAGTAATAAGCTCTCAGAAAGAGAATCTTTCAAAATAGATCAGGGGCTTCCCTGGTGGCGCAGTGGTTGAGAGTCCGCCTGCCGATGCAGGGGACACGGGTTCGTGCCCCGGTCCGGGA